AAGGATAATAATTAATTCTGGGCTGATAATTAATTCAGGGCTGATAATTAATTCAGTGATGATAATTAATTCTGGGCTGATAATTAATTCAGGGCTGATAATTAATTCAGGAATGATAATTAATTCAGGGCTGATAATTAATTCAAGGATGATAATTAGTTCAGGGCTGATAATTAATTCAGGGCTGATAATTAATTCAGGGATGATAATTAATTCAGGGATGATAATTTAATTCAGGGCTGATAATTAATTCAGGGCTGATAATTAATTCAGTGATGATAATTAATTCAGGGCTGATAATTAATTCAGGGATGATAATTAATTCAGGGATGATAATTAATTCAGGGCTGATAATTAATTCAGGGATGATAATTAATTCAGGAATGATAATTAATTCAAGGATGATAATTAATTCAGGAATGATAATTCAGGGATGATAATAAATTCAGGGATGATAATTAATTCAGTGATGATAATTAATTCAGGGCTGATAATTAATTCAGTGATGATAATTAATTCTGGGCTGATAATTAATTTAGGGCTGATAATTAATTCAAGGATAATAATTAATTCAGGGCTGATAATTAATTTAGGGCTGATAATTAATTCAGGAATGATAATTAATTCAGGGCTGATAATTAATTCGGGGCTGATAATGAATTCAAGGATGATAATTAATTCAGTGATGATAATTAATTCAGGGCTGATAATTAATTCAGTGATGATAATTAATTCTGGGCTGATAATTAATTCAGTGATGATAATTAATTCTGGGATGATAATTAATTCAGGGATTATAATTAATTCAGGGCTGATAATTAATTCCGGGCTGGGAATTCTGGGCTGATAATTAATTAATTCCAGGATGATAATTAATTCCAGGCTGGGAATTCTGGGCTGATAATTAATTAATTCCAGGCTGTTAATTAACACCAGGATGATAATTAATTAATTCAGGGCTGATAATTAACTCTGGGATGATAATTAATTACGGGATGTGAATTTTAGGATGATAATTAATTAATTCCGGGATGATAATTAATTCCAGGATGAGAATTCTGGGGTGATAATTAATTAATTTTGGGATGATAATTAATTATCTCAAGGCTGTTAATTAACTCTGGGCTGATGATTTATTAACTCTGGGATGATAATTAATTTTGGGATGATAATTAATTCTGGGATGATAATGAACTCCAGGATGGGAATTCTGGGATGAAAATTAATTAACTCCAGGCTGTTAATTAACTCTGGGCTGTTAATTAATTAACTTTGGCATGATAATTAATTCCAGGCTGGGAATTCTGCATTGATAATTAATTCTGGGATGAGAATTAATTAATTCCAGGCTGTTAATTTGGGCTGATAGTTAATTAACTTTGGGCTGATAATTAATTAACTTTGGGCTGATAATTAATTAACTCCGAGCCGTTAATTAATTAACTGCAGGCATGGTTGACGTCATCTTCGCCGACGTGGCGCAGCCGGACCAGACGCGGATCGTGGCGCTGAACGCGCATCACTTCCTGCGCTGCGGGGGGCACTTCCTCATCTCCATCAAGGTACCCACCAGTATAAACCAGTATGAACCAGTTCAGACCAGTACAGACCAGTACGGACCAGTATAAACCAGTACAGAGCAGTAGGGACAGACGCGGATCGTGGCGCTGAACGCGCATCACTTCCTGCGCTGCGGGGGGCACTTCCTCATCTCCATCAAGGTACGGACCAGTAAAAACCAGTATAAACCAGTACGGACCAGTATAAACCAGTTCAGACCAGTACAGACCAGTACTAAACCAGTACAGCAGACCAGTATAAACCAGTTCAGAGCAGTAGGGACAGACGCGGATCGTGGCGCTGAATGCGCATCACTTCCTGCGCTGCGGGGGGCACTTCCTCATCTCCATCAAGGTACAGACCAGTATAAACCAGTACAAACCAGTATAAACCAGTACAGACCAGTTCAGACCAGTATAAACCAGTACAGACCAGTATAAACCAGTTCAGACCAGTAGGGACAGACGCGGATCGTGGCGCTGAACGCGCATCACTTCCTGCGCTGCGGGGGGCACTTCCTCATCTCCATCAAGGTACCCACCAGTACAAACCAGTATAAACCAGTACAGACCAGTATGGACCAGTACAGACCAGTTCAGACCAGTTCAGACCAGTATAAACCAGTTCAGAGCAGTAGGGACAGACGCGGATCGTGGCGCTGAACGCGCATCACTTCCTGCGCTGCGGGGGGCACTTCCTCATCTCCATCAAGGTACGGACCAGTACAGACCAGTATAAACCAGTATAAACCAGTACAGACCAGTATGGACCAGTACAAAGCAGTATGGACCAGTATAGACCAGTACAGACCAGTATAAACCAGTACAGACCAGTATAAACCAGTACAGACCAGTTCAGACCAGTATAAACCAGTTCAGACCAGTACAGACCAGTACAGACCAGTTCAGACCAGTATAAACCAGTTCAGACCAGTATAAACCAGTTCAGACTAGTAGGGACAGACGCGGATCGTGGCGCTGAACGCGCATCACTTCCTGCGCTGCGGGGGGCACTTCCTCATCTCCATCAAGGTACCCACCAGTACAAACCAGTATAAACCAGTTCAGACCAGTTCAGACCAGTATAAACCAGTACAGACCAGTACAGACCAGTAAACCAGTATAAACCAGTTCAGAGCAGTAGGGACAGACGTGGATCGTGGCGCTGAACGCGCATCACTTCCTGCGCTGCGGGGGGCACTTCCTCATCTCCATCAAGGTACCCACCAGTTCAGACCAGTATGGACCAGTATGGACCAGTACGGACCAGTACGGACCAGTATAAACCAGTATGGACTGGTATAAACCAGTATAAACCAGTACAGACCAGTACAGACCAGTACAGACCAGTATAAACCAGTACAGACCAGTACAGACCAGTACAGACCAGTATAAACCAGTACAGACCAGTATAAACCAGTATAGACCAGTACAAACCAGTACAGACCAGCACAGACCAGTATAGACCAGTAAAAACCAGTATAAACCAGTACAGACCAGTATAAACCAGTACAGACCACTACGGACCAGTATAAACCAGTATAAACCGGTATAAACCAGTACAGACCAGTATAAACCAGTACAGACCAGTAAAAACCAGTATAAACCAGTACAGACCAGTTCAGACCAGTACAGACCAGTATAAACCAGTTCAGCCCAGTGCGGGGCTGGGACTGGGGTGACTGGAACCCGTCCTTAACTGGGATTGAGCTGATCCCAACTGGTTCTAACTGGAATTCAGCTGGTTCTAACTGGTGTCCGACTGGTTCAAACCGGTTCTAAACTGGTTCAAACCGGTTCTAACTGGTGTCCAACTGGTTCAAACCGGTTCTAACTGGTGTCCAACCGGTTCAAACCGGTTCTAAACTGGTTCAAACCGGTTCTAACTGGTGTCCAGCTGGTTCAAACCGGTTCTAAACTGGTTCAAACCGGTTCTAACTGGTGTCCAGCTGGTTCAAACCGGTTCTAAACTGGATCAAACCGGTTCTAACTGGTGTCCAACTGGTTCAAACCGGTTCTAACTGGTGTCCAACGGGTTCAAACCGGTTCTAACTGGTGTCCAACTGGTTCAAACCGGTTCTAACTGGTGTCCAACGGGTTCAAACCGGTTCTAACTGGTGTCCGACTGGTTCAAACCGGTTCTAAACTGGTTCAAACCGGTTCTAACTGGTGTCCAACTGGTTCAAACCGGTTCTAACTGGTGTCCAACCGGTTCAAACCGGTTCTAACTGGTGTCGAACGGGTTCAAACCGGTTCTAACCGGTGTCCAACTGGTTCTAACCGGTTCTAACTGGTTCTGACTGGGATTTAACTGGTTTTTCTGGGTTTTCACTGGTTCTGACTGGTTCAAACCGGTTCTAACTGGTGTCCAACTGGTTCAAACCGGTTCTAACCGGTGTCCAACTGGTTCAAACCGGTTCTAAACTGGTTCAAACCGGTTCTAACTGGTGTTGAACGGGTTCAAACCGGTTCTAACTGGTGTCAAACTGGTTCAAACCGGTTCTAACTGGTGTCCAACTGGTTCAAACCGGTTCTAACTGGTGTCCAACCGGTTCTAACCGGTTCTAACTGGTGTCCAACTGGTTCAAACCGGTTCTAACTGGTGTCCAACTGCTTCAAACCGGCTCTAACTGGTGTCCAACTGGCTCAAACCGGTTCTAACTGGTGTCCAACTGGCTCAAACCGGTTTTAACTGGTTCTGACTGGGATTTAACTGGTTTTTCTAGGTTTTCACTGGTTCTGACTGATTAAAACCAGTTCTGACTGGTCTCAAACTGGTTCTAACCGGTTCTAACTGGTTCCGAGTGGTGTTGAACTGGTTCTAACTGGGATTTAACTGGTTTTTCCGGGTTTTCACTGGTTCTGACTGGTTCAAACCGGTTCTAACTGGTGTCGAACTGGTTCTGACTGGTTCTAACTGGTGATGAACTGTTTTAAACTGGTTCTAACCAGTTTTAAACTGGTTCTAACCGGTTCTAACTGGTTCCAAACCGGTTCTAACTGGTTCTAACTGCTGCTGACTGGTTCCAAACCGGTTCTAACTGGTTTTAACTGGTGCTGACTGGTTCTAAACCAGTTCTAACTGGTTCTAAAGTGGTTCAAACCAGTTCTAACCAGTTCAGACTGGTTCCAAACCGGTTCTAACTGGTTCTAAACAGTCGAAACTGGTTCTAACCGGTTCCGACTGGTTCTAAACCGGTTCTAACTGGTTCAAACTGGTTCCAAACCAGCTCAAACTGATTGTAGAGCAGTTCTGACCGGTTCCGACTGGTTCTAAACCGGTTCTAAACCGGTTCTAAGCAGTTCAGACTGGTTCCAAACCAGTTCAAACCAGTTCAAACTGGTTCTAACCAGTTCTAAACCGGTTCTAACTGGTTCCAAACTGGTTCTAACTGGTTCTAACCAGTTGAAACCGGTTCTAACCGGTTGCGACTGGTTCTAAACCGGTTCGAACCGGTTCTAACCGGTTCAGACCGGTTCCAAACCAGCTCAAACTGATTGTAGAGCGGTTCTGACCGGTTCTGACTGGTTCTAAACCGGTTCTAAACCGGTTCTAACCGGTTCTAACCAGTTCTAACCGGTTCCAACTGGTTCTAAACCAGTTCTAAACCGGTTCTAACTGGTTCGAACCAGTTCAGACCGGTTCCAAACCAGCTCAAACTGATTGTCGAGCGGTTCTGACCGGTTCCGACTGTTTCTAAACCGGTTCAAACCGATTCCGAGCGGTTCTAACCAGTTGCGACTGGTTCTAAATCGGTTCAAACCGGTTCTAACCGGTTCAGACTGGTTCCAAACCATCTCAAACTGATTGCCGAGCGGTTCTGACCGGTTGCGACCGGTTCTAAACCGGTTCTAACTGGTTCTAACCGGTTCAGACTGGTTCCAAACCAGCTCAAACTGATTGCCGAGCGGTTCTAACCGGTTCTGACTGGTTCTAAACCGGTTCTAACCGGATCAGACTGGTTCCAAACCATCTCAAACTGATTGTAGAGCAGTTCTAACCGGTTCTGACTGGTTCTAAACCGGTTCTAAACCAGTTCAAACTGGTTCTAACCGGTTCAGACCGGTTCCAAACCAGCTCAAACTGATTGTCGAGCGGTTCTGACCGGTTCCGACTGTTTCTAAACCGGTTCTAACCGGTTCTAACCAGTTCTAACCGGTTCCGACTGGTTCTAAACCGGTTCTAACTGGTTCTAACCGGTTCAGACTGGTTCCAAACCATCTCAAACTGATTGTTGAGCGGTTCTAACCGGTTCTGACTGGTTCTAAACCGGTTCTAAACCAGTTCAAACTGGTTCTAACCGGTTCAGACCGGTTCCAAACCAGCTCAAACTGATTGTAGAGCGGTTCTAACCGGTTCCGACTGGTTCTAAACCGGTTCTAAACCGGTTCTAACTGGTTCTAACCGGTTCCGACTGGTTCTAAACCGGTTCTAAACTGGTTCTAAACCAGTTCAAACCGGTTCTAACCAGTTCAGACCGGTTCCAAACCAGCTCAAACTGATTGCCGAGCGGTTCTGACCGGTTGCAACTGGTTCTAACCGGTTCCGACCGGTTCTAAATCGGTTCTAACTGGTTCTAACCAGTTCTAACTGGTTCTAACCGCTTCAGACCGGTTCCAAACCATCTCAAACTGATTGCCGAGCGGTTCTGACCGGTTGCGACTGGTTCTAAACCGGTTCCAGCCGGTTGTGACGGGCTCGCGCTGTCCCGCAGGCCAACTGCATCGACTCGACGGCGCCGGCCGAGGCCGTGTTCGCGGGCGAGGTGAGGAAGATGACGGCCGAGAGGATGAAGCCGCAGGAGCAGCTGACCCTGGAGCCCTACGAGAGGGACCACGCCGTGGTGGTCGGCGTCTACCGGTGAGACTTGGACTGGGTTATACTGGTTTGGACTGGTTTGGACTGGTTTGGACTGGTCTGGACTGAGGGGGGACGGAGGGGGAGGTTTGGGTGCAAAAACGGCGATTTTGGAGCGAGAAACGGGGATTTTATGGGGGAAAAATGGGGATTTTGGGGGTGGAATGGGAACTGGTTTATACTGGGTTATACTGGGTTATACTGGGTTATACTGGTTTGGACTGGTTTGGACTGGGTTATACTGGTTTGGACTGGGTTATACTGGTCTGGACT